TAGATTTATATTTAGTAAAAAATTTATCATTAGCAAAAAATTTTATTCAAAATTTATCTTCAATACATTTTGAAAATTTGAATGAATTATATGAACTTGATTTAAGTTTTAATCAAATTAAAATATTAAATGAAAAAACATTTCAATATCTAGATAATTTACATATACTTCATTTAAATTCTAATCCTTTGGAATTTATTCATTCAGATACATTTTTTAATTTAACAAATTTAAAACAAATTAATTTTCATGGTGTTCAATTTATTCATTTACTTGATCAAGAATATTATCAATGGATTTGGAGTTTAGCAAATTTACATATTATTCATTTAATCAAGACTGAGTAAGAACAGAAGAGAAATATCATGTTCGAATTATTGTTAATTATCATTTGACTACATAATTAGCGTTACCATTGTACTTATAGAGACTAGTGTGAAATCAAATATATAAAATGATCTTCCGGAGTGAAACAAACGGAACAGGATATGAGTTTTTCTCATAGGAACGACACCAGTAGAGTTTTATATATCAGTATTACATTGATTCAGGAAGACAAAGCTAATCAGAAATAAAAGAAGATTGTATATTATACTACTTTTAATTTAATGATTCATAAGATATGCTCAACAACGCTTCTTCTTTTTTATATTCATTTGACATATAATTTGAACAATTAATCTACTAATTATAAATTCACAAGGTTCTTTCTTTCTAGAGATAAAGTATTAATTGTTGACAGTAAGAGTTTATCCAGAATTGTTTGCAATTAATACTAATGATGTTGATAATTTATTATATATTGACTTGAATTTTTCTATTTTTAGTTTTGATTTAACTGATGTTGCTTTTTGTATCTTATCACGTTATAATCAAACATTATTTCGTTTATCACGACAAGATTCTTGTTCATGTAGTATTCATTATTTTAATCGTAATCAATATAATAATGAAAATACTTCATTAACAATAACAGAATATGATACGAATTATTTACGATTAACTCCTATATGTAATGAAAATCATATAGAAACAATTATGGAATATAATGATAGTAACGATGATTTAATTCTTCAAAATTTAGAAGATAAATGTAATTATAAATTAATGTATCTCGATTGTGATGCAATGACAACAACAACAACAGCAATACCAACAGATATAACAACATTGTTAAATGAAGAAACTGAATTTATATCAAGTTCAGATGTCTCTATGGATCTAACAACTGAAATAACAGAATTACGATCAAAGTTTGTTTTTTTAATTTTGAGAAAGATAGTAAGAATCTTAATAACGAATTCGTAAAAACTGATAATCTGCCTATTTCTATATGATGAGTCTCAGCAACTCTGCTGTCAATCGACCCGTTCTCTAAATCTAAAGCTAGTAGTAAATACAAATGAATGCTTTACGATCAGTATACTTTAGCGAATCCTGAAATAATATTTTCTATCTTTTAGACCGACTGTTTTCGGACCAACAACACCCAATCCTTTAAATAATGTTCGAAAATTATTTACTGTTCTTGCTACTTTATTAGCAATAACAATTGGTGCCATTCTTCTTGTCTTTTTTTGGTATCGCTTTAAAGCAATGTTAAAACGACGAAGAAAAAAGAAAAAATATATTGAACGTCAACGACATTTTAGTTCATCCAGTAGTCATACACGCCGTCCATCAGTACCACGCTATGCTTCAGTAGATATGTTCGATAGTATACAGAATACATATCTATTGGGTAGTAATAAAAGTCAGTTCGAAGCATTAATTGAACCACTACCAATGTCATCATCATTAATTTATAAAAATATTGATACATTTGGTAATGAATTGATTGAAGATTTTATTGATGATGATAGTCTAAAACATACTCCAATTGGAATAACAATATGATTTTATTTGTATATGCTTTTTTTCTTTTTTTAAAATTTTAATTAAAAGATTATTGAATTTTGTATAGATTTAAAAAGAGAGTTGCTTGATAAATTCAAGAAGACAAATAATATTTCGAAGTCACGAAGAATAAATGTAAGTATTTGTATGTTTTCTTGAAGCCTCATACTATTTGAAGTGTGATGCATTGATTTAATCAAGTGTTTTATATTTTATCAGTTTGTATTCAATATAAGTGCTACGATTTCAATTAGATTTTATCGGTAAATATATTTTCGAACATTCTCGTGTTTTTTTTTCAAATAATTATCGGTTAAATACTCAAATCAAACAAAAACAAATAGTTGAAGTGTTTTATTTACTCAAGAATGGTATCATTATTTTTTTGTCAAATAATTAAACATAAATTTATTATGTATAATATTTTGTCTAGTACAAAATACTGAATAAATCAAAGTACATTCAACAGATCAGTGGCGGAGCTAGGATTTTGGAAGGAGGGGGCGTGCGATTTTGGTTATAAACTACTTTTTGAGTCCAATCGAAGTAGTATGAACCTATTTTTGCTGTAAAAAATTTTCTGAAGGGGAGGGGAGGGCGATCGCCTCCCTAAATCCGTCACCACAACAGATGTATAATAAAATATTTAAATTAATATGTTTTCCAGCTGGATTCAATATGAGATAACTTGTACGGACAGGATAAGAGAAAGAATGTCAAGTATATGCTCCCTTAAGAAATCATCTATATTTCGTATTATTGATTAATAAATATAAAAAGATTAAGTTTATTTTCTTCTTTTTAATATAAATATGTATATTTATGCTAAACGAAGATGGAAATTAAAGTATAGTTTATTCATATTTTCGATATGCAGTACTTTTTAAGTGATCAAAATGGTGTATCGATTCATTTAAATAATAGTTGCAGTCTTAAGGCTTTATATATATTATAATATCATCATATTAACATATTGATCGATCGTTACATAGGTATCTGATGATATAATCGAATTATGTATATATATATATGTGTGTGTATATATGTAAGCAGTTTTTATTGTATATTAGAATTATTCTTAAAACGTCAATTGAAATTTAATTTGGTTCATTGTTATATTTCTCTTTTTTTTCTATTTAATTACATCTGAGGGGCGTTATTGATTTGTTCGTGCAAAGAAAGTTAATCTGATCATTTAGTAGAGTGCGTGTATTTATATATTATCCAGTGCATGGATCTATGTTTATAAATTTGCTTGTTACTATTTCTAATGTCCTCCATCCTTCTTTTGTTAATCCTCAACAAATGAAGCATACATAGAAAAAAAGGCAACAAAATATATACAGTGTCCATTAAGGACAAAGCTATTCTCTCCTTTCTTAAGTGTTCTTTATAGGACAAAAAAAATATATGCATACTTTGACAGAATGAAAAAGTAAGGAATTGAAATAGTGTCATCTTTTTTACTTGTGGATGCACTGATTTGCACTTGTGTGTCTAGACGGTAAGTATAAAAAGAGAAACTCTAAAATTTACCATCAAATTTTGGTTTTCTTTCATCAGATTATTCTTCGGTTAAACGATTTTATTTTATACTGATGTGTGATTATATATATATTTATATGTGATCTTTCTTTATTTTATTCACACCTATAGATTAACATGAAGGTGATCATATTTTTGATATATTGAGATGACAAAAAAATGAAAAGCACTAACATTCATACATTGAATGCGTCAAATTTCAAAGTATAACATATACAGAAGCGATAAGGATCGTTAGAAATGTTATATGTATATGTCATAATCTCTTATTGAGTGTTTTAATCAGTTTCCTTTTTATTTACTATGATAAATTAGATCATCATTCTAGATTTATTTTATTCATTATGGCATCATGTTCTGATTTAACAAATCTTTCATCAATAAATAATTGTCGACCTATAATCAAGGTATGAATATTATTCTAAAAATATCTTGACCTAGTTCATACATTAGCCACTTGACTTTTATCAATCAGAATATTAATTGGTATGCTATATGTCATATCATTTATCTACTTCTGTTCTCCATCGATACTGTATGTATTGTCAAGGTTAGATGTTCATGTAATTAGGCAGAAGAAGAAAAAAAAAAGAAAAAGACGTTGATTATAAGCTGGACCCTGATGAGAACGATAGGGAAATATATATGCATATGTCATAAAAGATAACCTTCTCTTGGGTATGTGCCACGTATAGAACTAGTCGACTATATGTTAGCATATATATATAACTATGTAGATTTCTTCTCTAATTTCTAGGCTCCTCCAGTTCCACTATTGACAAGTAAAAAATTTGTTGAACCATTTAATCGTTTGAAGAATCGTGCAAATTTATTTCGTCGAAGAAATTATTCATCACATTTAGATATTAGTAATCCTCGTTCATTATTACCTGCTGAGCATTTTATTACTTCTCATCGAATACTTGCAACAGATAATAGTAATAATAATAATAATAACATTATTCTTAAACGATCAAATTCAATGATATGTCCCCAACAACGTTTACAAACATTATTAAAAAATAATAATATTCGTAATTCAATTTGTGTTGAAGTGGCTGGTTGTCCAACAGATGAAAGTTCAACAGATGATTATAATTTTATAAAAACATCATCAAATCGTTATTTTGGAAAGAAAAATTATTCCAAAATGAGTCATATTAATGAACAGGATACATTCTCATCAAGAGAATCACTTAACGAGAAAACTATTGAAGAAGGCAAGAAAAAATAACACATATCAATCAAAACTAATACTCAATTTGTTTTTTTTTTCTTCTAGTATCATCATTACCTAATAATAACAATGAACAGATATCTGTCATTCTCTCTTCAGCTCAGTTAACGAAGAACGTTATTCGAGATGAACAAAAACAGCATATGTTTCCTTCAGTTACATCGACATTAATGTCTAAAGATAATAATACTGAATCAATTCAAACACGTCGACAATCATCATTAAATTCCAATATGAATTTTCTTCAAAAACGACAATCGATATGTTCATCATTAGATGAACCATTTTATGATTGTAAACAACAAACATCACCGATAAAACTTACTCAAACATTTGATATGTCTCTACCGAAAATTTCCATATGTACAATGACAGGAAAATCTTTAAATAATCTTGATGAATGTTTATCAACAACATCATCCGAAGAAAAAGGTGTACAAACAACATTTAATGAATCAATAACAACTAATTCATGTAATAAACGAAATAATTCATCAACAAGTTTATCATCATCATCAACATCAATACAAACTGATTCACTTGAAAACAAACCAAAAATATCAATTTTAGCAAAAACAGCCGATAAATCAAATCTTTTTGTTAATCAATCTCAATTAGAATCAACGCATAGATGGTCAAATATACACGATAGATTAATTAATGAACAAACCTGTATCTATTGGGTTAATTATTTAGGTAAAAATTATATTTCTCGAAAGATACGCATTCTATTTAACTAGGCATGTACCGAGCCCGAGCCTCTCGGGTTAGGTCAGGCTCGGGTGTCAGATTGATGTAGGAGTGAGTTTCTGACACCCGAGAGGCTCGGTCAGGGCTCGGGCTCGGTATATCCCTAATTATTTAACTATCGATTTCTTTTAATATAGGTTCAACAGCAATAAAAATCTCGAATGATAGTAGTCAAACTATACCAACTCATGCAATTAATCGATTAAAACAATCAACACAATATGCACGTGTTTTACCGATAATTGGTTTAAGTATATCGTCACGTGGTGTCGAATTTTTAAAACATACAAATGATCATGTTGTTATTTGTTTTCATGATATTAAATCAATACATTGTGCATGTCAAGATCAAGATTTACGTTATTTTGCTTATGTTACACGTGAACAACGTTTAATAAATGGTATGCCACATGTACCTATGACATTTGATCATAAACAACAACAACAAAAATCTCCGTCTTTATCTATGCATGGAGATTATCATAATTATTGTCATGTATTTGTTGTGAAAAATGAATCAATGTCAACTGAAGTAATTTCAAATGAATGTATAGAAATTTTATTTTATTTTATTTTTCATATTTAGATTTTATTAACTTTTGGTCAAGCATTTAATGTAGCTTATCAACTTCATCGTCGTTTAAATTTCAAACAAAGACATTTAGATAAATCTCATACGAAAATTGATGTTAATCATTTATCAACAAAAACTGATAAAATAATGCTATCATCAATGCATTCACCACCGGCAACACCATCATCGTCGTCATCATCAAGCGAGGAAAGAAGAGTGTTTATTTAATAGACAATATTTCGAAGAAAATCTATTGTATATATTTGTGCGCTTTTTTCTTTATATATTTCTTTTAATGAAAAATAATTTCAAAATAAGACATATTATAGTATTATTTAAGTGTAATGATCCCTTTATGGGATTGTTTAAAAATATGTTTTGTTCAGTAGTGCCAAACTGGAAATTTGAATTCATCGATTGATGAAACAGTTGAAGTAATACTGCTTGGCAGAGATATTTTCTGATTTTTAGTTTTTCAGTATAAGTATTAAGTTCATTTTTTATTCTTATATCTTCCTATAGGCTTCAATTAAGCGATGCTTATTATTAATATCCTATCAGGAAAATAAAAATATTTATATAATGAGTGTCATCGTAATGGGAATGAAAATAAAATACATTCTTGATGTTCCTTGTATTAGTACAATTATTGCATTCTCTATAATATTTGACATGTTGTTTATGTGAGTTATTAAAGATATCATTTACTGACATTGTTCAGTAATTGATATTTGATTAATATTACGAATAAAGTATGATTATTTTTTTTTATTTAGACTTATTGAAGAAACAATTCTAATAGCACATATTAATGTAAACATGTAGTTCGATATGTTCTTTTTTACTGGACTTATTTTAATAACAGCTTAAACGATTAGAATTGATAGCGAGAAAAAAAGAGAATATTTTTGTGTATGAAGGAGTATGGACATTGTTGTCAACTCGCGGCTTACTGTTTCTTCGCCAACTGTAATAACGCTAGATTAGTGTGAAATGCATGTAACAAATTAACCCTATATTATTAGAATAAGCATATTATAGTCTAAACCCCTCAATATAGTTTCCAGGAGCTATTTTTATACATATATAATCACATAATGACACTGGCGAAAATCTTATTGACAGAATTCCGGAATCTTCAATTCGCACCCACACCCTAGATGAATTAAAAGCTGAAAGTGGACTTTGAAAATCAACTTCTTCAATTGCTACCATTTTGAATTAGATTCCTGCAATTTCAGTGAGTATTTGAAATAGAAGCAGCTTGAAGTATTAGTCTAAGTGAAATCTGACAATGCAATTCAGATGACAGTTGTAATTTCAAAGCTACAATCAAATCAATAGTTATTGCGTTCCAATTTCTCAAAATATTTTTTTGTAAAGAGATTTTAAATCAAAGAAATATCAACTAATTCCGTTTCATTATTTTCTAAATTCAAGATTCGAAGAATTTGTTGTTAATTGCCTTTGATTTCAGCTGTTATCAATATGATAAAAGCTATAGCTTTAAAAATATTTTATATCGTTACAAGTTTAGTAATTTCTATCCTGCATTGAATTCGAATTTTATTTGTACCCATCAAATTTTCTCGAAATTCTTATTCATGCTAGTAGTTCAATCAAAATGAATTATTGTTATATTGTATATTAAAATAAAAGCAGTATAATAATTTAGTTTTCCAAATCTTCTATTTGATTTTCCATTGATATATCCTCTATCCAATCCGCAGCCTCTATCATAATGCATAAATGTATCAAATAAAAACATTTCTCTTATTGGATTGGTTCAATAATGAATACTCATGATATTATTTATTCTTTTTGTCTCAAAAAAGTGGAAAAGACAACTATTTCTACTTCGAAACAAAAAATGAAGTTAATGATTTTGATTTAATCAAATAAATTATAATGAAAGTAGTTAAAGGTACAAATACAGGAGATAAGAATAATTATAATTATTCTAAACCAACTCCTCCACCATCAGTGGTTCCAAATGATGATCAACTTGATGATACTGATGATGACTGGCATATGTCGAAAAGTAATCAAGATTTACAACAAAAATTTAATGAAAATAAAAAAATTGTATCACCTACATATGAAATGCAAACAATTGAAGATTCAATTAAACCACAAGTAACTGTACAACAACAAACACGAACATTAGCACAAATAAGAGAACAACTGGCATTGAAACGAAAAGGTTCGATTCATTTTATTTATAAAAGTAAAATTCGATAATTTTTTCATTTTTTAGCATCAGCTGCAGCAGCTTTAAACTCAACACGTATGTTTAAAGCTTGTTTTTTATTTGAATTTTTGCTTTTTTTTAAATTTTAGATAGTACAGCTTCTAGTCCAACGACGAATACTAATAAATCGGGAGTAATTATACAAAATGAATCTAGTGAACAAACAATGTACGTTTATTAAGTGACTGAATTTTTGAGAATTTCGTATTCGAAAAGAAAAAAATATTTTATATTGAGTATGTATGAAAATCAGCGAATAATCTTAAGATTCAAAACGATCGAGTTTTAGAATTCATCAAGATCTAACGAATAGGGTATAAAAATTTATCTTCGTAGTGTTTTTCTACTACTTGAATATATTCGAATAAGAATACAAACTAAGATAAATATGGAAGTAATGATTTGTAAGAGCAGGACAGTTCCGTTCTTAGGAACTGTATAATAGTTTTTTTTACAGGAACTGAACTGTCTGAAAACTAGTTTTTCGGAAATAAAAACAGATCAGATCTTCCGAAAGAACTGTTGAAACAGTTCAGTTCATCTGAACTTGGAACTGTGAATTGTCCTACCCCTAATGATTTGGATAAAATAGTTTCAAAACAATCAATTAATTTACGAATTAGAATACTGACTTTGTCTGTCATTCATATTTCTCTTATGCAAATAAGAATAAATGATGCCTGTTTTTTATCAAGAAGAAATGTTTACAAGAAAACTATCTATTATCATTGAATAGCTGATCTATATAAAACTCTGAGTTCAATATTAGCAGATTATTTCGTATGGGGGCAACTGAGCGAAAGGCTTTTCAGCGAAAAGTTTTAGTAAAAATCAAAAGAGCGAAAGACAATTCAGCGAAATGATTTTTCTTGATGAGGATATGAACGAAAAGTGAGGGTGAGTGAGAAACATGTTTCGCGGTTGTGACTTTTGCGCATTTTTTGCTGAAAAACCTGTTCGCAGATATGATTTTTTGCTCAACGGACACTATATCGATTATTTTTATGTGTATACTCAAGAGAGGTATTCATTACCAGATCTTATAATTTGAACAATGAATAAGCTGAAGTCATCTATGAAGAGATTCTATTAACGAGAAAGACTTTTACGATTTGCACTTAGCTTTCTAAAATGCTTACTTTTGTTTCGCCAAAAAGATTATGTTTGTTAAAGAAGTATTATACTATCCTTTTTTTAGAGACTTTAGGGTTTTTATCGATATAAAAAGTATTTTAGTTAAGAGAGCTATTGAGAAAACGTTTCGAAAATGCTAAGATAGTGCCCAATAAGACATTCGTTATATCTCTACGTTGATTGCAGATGTAATAGATGATTTTTCTGCATTCCACTAGATCTACTTAGTGTACTTTATAGATAAACTCCTTAATCATATTAAATACTTATGACAAAGTCATCTTGAAAAAAACAATATTTGATTTAAAACTAATATAAACATTCTTTGAATTCATTAGATTTAAGAGAGAATTTTTGATCATATTCGAAAATATGTTCTACATGAATAGTTTCGTATATTTAATATTAATATAGAATTTTAGCACACACTCTTGTAAATTATGTTATTAGAAATAGGCATAACTCGATCATTTTTTTCCCACATACAAAAAATACCTTTGTCTATCGGATAATTTAAAAGTTAAACTGAATACAAAATCTTCTCTAATATCTGATGATCCCTTTCATACACTTGTTCTCTAAAAGGACTATATAAAGAACTTATAAGAATCAAAGCTTAATACTTAGCTTACAGATGAAAAATGTAAATCTATTGAACTATTAGCAAGATCTTCTAATCGAAATTCAATTTGAAAACTATAATATACATAATTTTACTATTTTTCTCTATTTAGATCCTCATCAAATATCAATAATTCATCGATTGAACAAGTTGATACAATCCTACCTTCATCTTTGTTCACCAATCAATCGTCAAATGATTCTCTTCTTTTGGTATGTCTTAACAAGATTTTTTTTTCTTTTCTCGAATGTATATATATATATATATGTGTAACGTTATATATATATTTTTTCTTCTTATCGATAAGTTTACATACAGACGCTCTCTTTTTGTTGTCTTATATGTTACACCATGCGATATAATACTTTCTCTTTTGTTCTTCTATCCCGTCTTTTTTTTTTCACTCTGTCGACAAACCATTCAGCAAAATTCTATTTCATTTTGACGCTTACTTACCCACTCTCTTTCATCATTGTCGGGTTTTTTTTCTGCTTTGCTTTGCTACTAACACGGCAAAAATCTGATCGGTTATGTTGTTCGTTCTTTCTTACTCTTCATCGTTCCACTACTAGCATTTATAATAGAAAGCAGCTCTATATTTTACACACGCAAAAGCAACAAGTCAAAACACATCGATGATGAGGATAATAGTCATAGTGTGTATACTGTGTGTGTTCGAGAGTCGAGAGAAGAGACAGAAAAGAAATCAGTCACATGCGCGCTTTTTTTTTCAAGAGAAAAAAAAAAGAAAAGAATGACTGCTGTATGGTGCACCGACAGCCAGCACCAGCTCTAGTGCTCAGGAAAAGAAAAAAGAAATATATAAGCATTTCTTCTTTTGTCTCCAATTTCAAGACACATCGTCGTCGGCATCGTAATGCGCTTGTTGTTGTTATTACAGCCACTACTAGTTTAAATAATATATTCATTCGCATCTATTTTACTATTGTCATTAAAACTCTCTCTCTCTCTTTTTTCTTGTATTTATGTCATATGTTATTCTTTCGCTTGAAATATTAGTGCTTGTCAAAAGAAGAAAAAAAATGAACACTGAACTCAATCATAAGCATGTAGTATATGTCCTCTCCTTCTTTCCTTGTCGAATCGACACCGGCGATCTAACAGCTAAGAGTATATATATATAAAACATATAGACTGAAGAGAAATGTTAAATTGTGTTTAATCGTTGTAACAAAAAGACGACGACGGACTATGGTATGTGCGTTCTCTCTTCTGATAATGAGAAAAGAAGATGGGACGAGAAAGAAAGAAAGAAGAACAGAAAGAAAAAGAGAATAGAACTGAATGTAATTCGAATGAACTCACAATATATATATATATATATGTAACGAAGAAAAGAAGAAATTGATGATCGATCATGTATGTGCCTGTTCTTTCTTTTTATTAAACACATTGAAGAAGAACAAAAAAAAAAAAAAACGACAACATATTGACTTCAATCTAACATTTTTTTCTTCTTCTCTATGTAGAATTCAACTAATAATAATACTAATAATTCAGTAACACAATTTTTATTCGACGATTTTTCTGAAACATTTGATCCATTTACTGCCTCGATGCTTGACAATATCAGTGAATCAACATCGACTAATCACCAAACGAATTCTCAATCACAACATCAACAATTAATTAAAAATTCACAAAATCAAATTATATTAGATTTTGATAGTATTTTACAAGAATTAAAATCTGTGGGTGAAGCACATCAACCAGAACAACAAACAACCATGATTGTTGAAAATATCACAGCTAATATTAAACAAGAATCACAATTAAATACAAATTCAAATAATATAGGTAAATTCATTTAAAAGACAACAGAAGGAAAAAAGATATATTGAGATCGGAAGGAAGGAAATAGAGTAATCAATCTCTCTCTCTCTTTTCTGATAATGTGTAAATATAAATAAATCTCATTTTGAAAATTAATGAGATAAAGTAACGGAAAAACGTCTGAGTGAATATATCAACTATCGGACATTACGCTAAATAAATAATTTTAAGAGGAAACAAATCCAGAAGTTAATTATACGAACTTCAAATAGTATACAGAAAACGATATATATGTATTTGTCTTTCGTTGTATTATACAATCATATCGAAAGTATTCTGTTAATTTGTAAACTGATAGGAATTGTCTTCATTGAATATTAAATTCTATATTCAATTTGTGGTTGACTAATCATTAATTGATAATTCTTTTATCCTTATACATGATCTCAATCCATGCGTTCAATGATTCATTACACTTGGATCTATTATTTCCAGATTTTTGAGTCCTTGTCAAATACGTAGTGTTTATTAACTAGATTATTCGACAAGATATTTTGTTTTTTATTTTAGTAACTTCAACTAAGTATGAATCAACATCATCATCCGATGATCTCTTTGCATTTTTATCATCCGATTCAGCTTCATCATTACCTAGTATAAATACAATGATGCTTTCAACACTTCCTACACAAACTATTCCAACATCACCCGTTGATACATCGAAAAAGAAAGGAAATAATATATCACCAAAAATCAAAAAAGAACCTGGTGGTATAATTAAAGTTCGACCAAATAAAAAAATCAAAAAAGAAACGACACTTAGTGGAGAATCATTACAACAGATTTTAATTAAAACTAATGGTGAATTTGTTGAACCAATGCATATTGTTCTTGCATCACCAGTCAAACCACAACAACCAACTACATCATATTCACCTATTGCACCAGCTATAAATAAAAAACCTAATAACAGCGAATCGACAACTAGTTGGATGACTACAAATATATCGCAAACAACAAAAAATGCACAGGCACTTGCACTAAAAGCTGTCGCAAGAAATCAAGTAGCTAAAATAAATCAACAACAACAACAGCAGCAAGCAATGGATACTAGTAAGATATAGAAATTTATTTATTGTATACGAATGAGAAAGTAAACTAATTGACATAATGTATATTTAATATTCTATGAGAAAAAAAAGAATCGTTATATTATTCTAATAGGAAGGTTTAATCGTATAGAACCTTGCCGAGATATAGATTCATTATTACCATGAAACAAGGACATTAAGAAAGAACTTGATGTCATAACGATCTCGTATTACGCGAAAATCGATTCTTCTCATCTGGTAATTTCTAGCTTTTCATAAATCATTCTCACGGTCAAAAGAACAATATTTCTTCTATTTATTATCCATATTATTATCTTATAGAATATATATATATTTATTATATTAACAGGTACTTATGATTCATCACGTCCAACTTTACTTGTAACTCGTACAGATTCTTCTACGAAACAACAAACATTACAAGCTCGTGTAAATGCATTTGTTGTTAATATGCCTCAACAACAAACTGCAAAATTAATTCCTGCAACAACGACTACATTAACACCACAACAACATGTTTTTTTACAACAAATTATGCGTCGTGATTCTTCAACAACTCTTTCAGAATCAACAACAACACCTATAGGAAATCTTATTCAACAACCACAACCAATATCTACAACTGTTCGTGTACCAACAACAACATCAACAACGACATTCATTCAACAACAACAACAACAACAACATCAAGTACATCAATTATCAAATAGTAATGATTCAACACGAAAACAACAATTATTTGATGCACTTTCAGCATCATTAGCAACAACTCGAACAACGAATTATAAATGTACATGTGAAAGTAAACCATTAATTGCATGTAAAAAATGTGGTGCTTATTGTCATGATGATTGTATTGGTCAAACGAAATTATGTGGAAATTGTCTTGTGATGGCTCCTTGTTAAGAACTTTCTCAGTTTTCTTTTTCTTATCTCTAACTGATTCAATCTAGTCATCGAACAAAGAGATCATCATCAATATTTTTTAGCAATAGTTTAATGTATATCAATTAATTATGTATTTTCTCTCTTTTTTCCTTTTTTTTTGTACAGTCTTGTTTGCATTTCATTTTTCTGTTTTTGATTATTGTATGAGCACGAATGTCAAAATGTGCTTAAACTATAATATTAAATTAATAATAAAAAGATTTATACGAATTTCTGTATTAGTAACAAAGTGAATACGTTTTTT